CCGCCATCTTTGCACGCGCCATTTCATTGTTATTCCTTTTATTACAGCGGGCCCTGGAGTCGAAACGCTATTGGAGATTATTTGCGCTGCCAATATACAGGGTAATGGATGGTCTCCCCAAAGGCCTACACTCCATTTTACCTCTCGCTCTGATATTAGTCAGCTCACAGTGCATCACACATCTTAACACCGCACACGCTCCTGTAATGATTAGTACTGCAACAGAATTACATTACACCGTATCAAGAATTCATACGTACGTTGACTACATGTGAAAGACCGTACTGTGGTGTCTAGTAATGAAATTGATATCGTCATGCATAATTGTATTTTAATATGTGCATGGATGCATATATGAGTTGGTAGGCAACATTTAGATTTTAATGATGAATATGTTGCTGGATAAGGTAGATTGAAATAATACAATATAACATATAGTTTACGAAATGAAAACATAAAAGTCTGCATTGGATTACACCCTTTTTTAAGATCCAAATGATATCTACTTTAAGAAATAAAGACAATTTTCACTGGGATACCGTTTTTTAAGATCCAAATAAGTAAAGAAGTTCATATCCTGACTAAATTGCTGTAATTGCAACCTACATTGAAGTATTTGGAACTGATGATAATGAAATGGAAGCATATTTTTCGAGATGTCCCTAGCGGTACTGTGTATAGAGAAGCAATCATCGCTTTCCTTTCCTGGGTTTAACTTCCCAAGGTTTATGAGAAGTTAGATTTATTACAACTCTGGGGAAGCGACGTCGGCAGGGAATCAGCATCCGATTCATATTTCAGATGACGTCGTATGTCTTCAGGCTTCTTCAGAAGTCAAGACGTACGTTTCACGTCCTCACAGTCGCGACGTTCCAAGGTTAAAGATAATATAAAACAGATGGTGTTTTAGAAGGCTAATGCGCAGTAGTTTTCGAGAGCAGTGAAGTTGACATTGCCTTTTTCTTGGGGAGAGATATCCTTCCGCGGGATTTTTCAGGAAATGGTGTCTACATCCACCAGAAACTGCAAGTAGAGTAGAATGTCAAATTTAGTTGTCAAATGGGATATTGGAGAAAATATTTCAAGAAACACGTATGTAGTTAATTTAGATTTCAGAATATGTGTCAAATACCTATATATTGATACGGGATATTGTACAAATCCATGTAAAAAAATCAATTTCAACAACGGATATTGTGGCGTATCTTCTTACAGAAATATTATCTATATCACAAAACATTAATGCTTGTTAATAACCGCATATGGAGTTATTAGAATGCAGGATTTGACATCAGGCTCATGAATTGTCTCTACCTTTGACCGAACACAATATCTGGTGTTCAGACTCTAAAACATCCCCGCCCTCTTTCTGTAGCCACCTCGCTACGTGACTGCGCATAACTCACCTGCACAGATACACCAGGCAAACTGCCAAAAACGCCGCGCCGCTTTCTAATCAAATCAGGTCCTTTATGATAGAGATTACGTTGCCTTTCCTCATTCTTATCTAAAATAAACTAATGGAAAGTATGCTCAGATTAATTAGATTATTCTACGTTTGTTTTTCATGATTACAAGTATTTTGTAAACAAATGTATTAGATAGTCATAAAGCGTTATACAATGTAGTCGGTTAATGGCAAATGCCCTAGTGCGCTCCAAATGTTTACCTTTTGTACTTGCATGAAATTTTATGATATTGATAATGGATGATGATGATAATGATAATGGTTTATTGTCAAAGTATCGCTTGGCCAACAACTTGCAGATAAATATATTGCTCAATTGATATACAAACATTGCAACAATAATGTTTCAGCGTAACCATGAATGTATAAATTAGCCCCTCCCCCTAACATTGACACTGGTCGAGCCCACTGTACGTGTGAATAGGCGTGTTAACCAAGATTCCACATGAAGCAATAGTTACACGTACATGAATTTTTAACCCATTTATTCAATATCGAGCGCAACGTTGCTACAGTTTGGGTAATTGCAGCCAACATCTTAATAGTCCATTTACTGTGCATCAATTCGAAATCTCTCTTAAACCGGCGCATTTATTCGTATCAAGTCAGATGGGAGTTCCCGTAGTCTAGACTAAGATACTGCAATGGTTCACTGTTTGCAAACGGACAATGTTTATTTGATCATTGCACTTATGCATTGGTACTCTCCAAGCAGAGGTTTGGGTGTTGGGTTATATTTGACGTGTCTTTAATGCTTTTTTTCATCGTGGTTTCTTTTTTTGCACTGGATTTTGTTGTTGTGTACTGCAAAATTTATTTGTCTTGTTACGTAAAGACTGTTGGTTCTGTCACAACCTGCTTGAAAATTCTACGGCATAAAAATTGCACGACGACCTACGATGAATATGAGTCGTACAGTACATCCTTCCGTGCGGCATGTATGTGTGTGTGTGTGTGTAGCGTAGGCGTAAGCCTTCCCCCGTCCTCCGCGCAAATCTGGGACGAAAGGCCGTTAACAAGTCAAACGGTTGGCTACATCCAGTCTTCATTTGCGTTCTGAGCAAATCCTGTGATAGATGTCTCTGTCCCAACTCTCCTTTAATGAGCCAAACGGGGCGTGAATGAAAATGCTACACAGCCCCATTCATCTGTCATAGACCGTTAACTGCACCGTCCAATAGTGCGCCAATAAGAGCATTCAAATTAACGGATAATGGACGAAATTACGTCATTATTATTTCATTCCTACCTTCCTCTATTGAATCATGAGTATAATGTAATTGAAATTGAATATTAGTGCTTGCATTCTACCTTACTCTCCTAGTGTTTTGGCAAGGGGCAACCAGTACATGATGGAAGTAGACACAGTACCAGAGCCGTTATTACCGGTACACTGTTTAAATTTTCAAATGGTCAAATGTGACGGTAAGTGTACCGGACGGAGGCCGGCGGTAATGAGGGGCAAGGCGAGCCGCACGGAAACGTGATGTACGCTCCTCTACATCGCAGTCGACAACTCACGTCGGATTTCTGGTTATTATCCCATAACAAGCACTGAGACGTATATTACAAAGGTCGTGATTCTAGTCTATACTAATTTACAGTCTGAGACACGAATAGACGTTTCAATAGGTAACAACATAGCATTAGGTCGTGTTGCGAACGTTTTGTACCGGCCACAACATGCATGATACTGGCACGTAGCATTTTTATAAGATTTCTGAATCAAGCGTCGAAACACAGCGATCTTCGGAAATGTCTGACCTATACCAGTGCATATACACGCACATTAATATCAATTACTGAAAATTGATTTTCTTCCCTATATCAAACTTATAATCATTGTGGTGAATTATTCTTCAAAACACTATATTGTTCCCAGTACGCCTATTAGTATAATAGATAAAATACAATATATGTATTCCATTGATAAAGTTAAAGTAGATATCATTTTACTAGGAATATTGCATAATGAGCTCTAACTCTATAGCTCTCTTTACGTATATCTCTCACGTCACACCCATCCCCCGCCCCTAACTGTACTTAACTTTAACCTTAACACAATCCCACCCGGATATGGACAACACCTGTGATAATGATGAGTCACCGAAGATTCAAGAGGGCCCTTTTTTGTATCCTTACATTATTGGCACCTGCGCCTGCCGTTGACGCAATGCAACGCAATAGCTGACGTTTTTATCGGCGAAAACATCTGGACGTGTGCGTAGCATAGATAACCGTTACACGTTTTTCCCACACTACTAAAACCCAGCTTGGATAATACCTGTCGTTCGGCCGGGACCGTAATGCATTACGGGCAATGAGCGTGGAGATTGTACCACAGAGGTCGCGCTTGCGGTTAATTTGACTTATGAATTATTTAATGCAGTTCAGCAGAGCCAACCAACTTTTTCAATTTCAATTTTTTACTGAGGGCCAATTTATGGCATAGGTGTGAATTATGTAAAGTTTTCCTGTACTTCTTTGTCACTGTTTCGATATGTCATTTGTAGTAAAACCGTGAATAAAATTATGTCAAGATTGACGACTTTGGTCTATAAACTTCAGAAAGTTGAAAGGGAATATATGTGATTTTCATGAAAAATGTTTCCTTTATATGTTCATGTGTGTCATTTTTATGTTTCAATGCGTAATATTTATGTATCGTAGATGGTCACTGGATGTTATTTTAAATTTAGTATTGGAAGCATAACGTAGAATAGTTACGCTTTATCTACTTACAATACTTAACAAATATTTTTTATACTATACATTAAAGAAATTACCAATTCCTTAGTTTATGAATAGATAGAAAGGGTTTCAAAGCAGTGACGTATCAAAAATCAAAAGCAATCCGTTCAAGTTTGCACCTGAGGCCTACTCTCCAAGCAGAGGTTGGGGTCATTTTTGGCGTGCTTTAGGCTTTTTTTTATCGGGATTTCTTTTTTGCACTGGGTTGGGTGACAGACAATTCCAGTGCAAAAAAGAAACCCCTGTAAAAAAGCCTAAAAAAATAACCCCAAACCTCTGCTTGGAGAGCACCTGAGGCCCGGGCATGTAGACGAAGTGTTATCCTCAGACGGTATGAGAGCTCAGTGTCCCGACAGGGGCCTCCCTGGCAGAACGTCCGATCCGTCTTACCTAATGAATTTTTATTTCACGCCAGCTGTGAAAGCTAAGGTGCAGTAAAACGCAGTGGACTGCGCAGGACCGGAAACGCCTGGCGTCAATTATTACCACTGGTTGTTTATTGGTCATAAACCCCGGCCGGCCATGTTGGTGGAACATGGAACGGAACGATTGGTCATGGCCATGTATCCTGTCCGCTTGCATAAGCGATATAATCACTGTAACAGTAACACCCCCCTCCCCTCCCTACACCACCACCAACTCTCAGCTAAACGCTTACAAACAAATCTCGCCACCATCTGTACCCCCACAGCCCGTGGATATCACCGGTTAACCTAAATAATGAATATCGCGCTCGTGCCACAAAATCTGGGGCAAGTGATTAAATGGTTGATAGACCCACCTGCCTGGAGGCGGCGATACGGCGATGCCGCGCGCCGCGGTGCCTCCGTGCTGATTACGCCGGCGATGTTCCCCCCGTGTGCCGATGAATCTATCTTGCCTCTGCGTACGTTCACTGTGGAGGCCGAGAATGAAGTAAGTAGCCCGCAGCGATCGGTGAGGTTAGCTCGCCACACAAAAGATGACGCTAACACGATATCCTGATCATAACTCTTCTTAATAAAGTCCGGCAGTCTTCTGACGTGGCGAAATCTCACCACTGATCTCCTGGCTTGAGGTGTATGGTGCCCACCGTGAGATACCTCAGCAGGGGAGAGTTACGCACGGAAGTCAAACGTTCAACACTCGGAGGAGCGGGATTCCATCACATGCCGTGGCCCAGTCTGATTGGTTCAAACCCTGACGGTGCAGAGGGGTGCGTAACGCCCACGTCCTGAGCGTCCCCAAACCAACAAAAACGTCAGGAACAGACGTCAGATTCAGCCCCAAAAGTGCAATTCAACCTGAGCCTTTCATAAACGTGGTACGAAGCGAAGACCGGAGTGGTTGACAGTGACAGGCAGGTGACAGAACCAGTGGAATGCGGGCGCGATCCTCATGTAGAGCCGGTATCTCACCTGTACCTCCGCCGCTGCCTGTACGCAAACCCTCTCATTATGGTAATACATTAAATGGACCACCGATTCAATAGACTACAGGGATAGAATTATTCATTTTCAATCGCAGTTCCACCAGCATATCCTTCATACATTTTAAGGGTACGCATATGATAAGAAGAAATACCATGGAGTAAAATTAAAAAAATGTTTTTTTGTCGAATGGGCGAAACAGTTTTTTGCCTCATGCCGGTAAATAGATATCTGTGTATTGAAAGAAATATAGGTTTGATACAAGTTATAACTAAAGAAGAGAGAGAGGAGAGAGGGAGGGAGAGAGAGAGAGAGAAGAGAGAGAAAGAGACAGAGAGAGAGAGATGGACTGTACTAAATAAGAAAACTGTTACTCAAACACTTTTGTACATAACGGGTGGACTTTCTGATTATGATTTGCTTAAGGCATCCAATATTAATAACAGTTTATGTTCAAGACTTCACATTGAAATATAATGAAACCGCACAATTACACGTTTTTACAGCTTCGTCAACTTAAGAAACGGAAATATGACTTAGACATTAGTAGTGTAGGATGCTCGCCTGGATCAATTTATGCATTTATGTAGCGGTCAACATCAACATCAAGTTCAAGGTTGATCATATGTAAATCCATGCAAATGTATACAGTTCAAGTTCAACGATAATGTATGCAAATTCTATGCAAATTTTATTAGGATTTCTACCTGTACGAAATAGTTTTAGGGGCCGTGTTTTAGCAGATGATTTTTGATTGACCGGTGAATCGTGCATGTTTAGGGAAACATAACCAGCAAGCCTCTACATGTAAAAAGAAACTGTTTTAATAGCTGTAACTCTATCGTCTAGAAACAAATATTTAGTGGCCTTTTTGTAGAAGATATCCTGGTGTGAAGTGGTATTTCTCATATTACCTGAATAGGACGCCTTTCTCATTGGACTGAAAAGCTACAGTTGCAGGTTTTAAACCAACAGGGGTTTTCACTGCTATCATTACTTCGCCTATCTCCGAAGTACAGCAGCCATTAAAATTGTACGTTCTTATGTGCTGCATTGTGTGGGTACTAAATTACCGGGCGTCGCGCTATTCATTTAGGTATGACTCAATTAACGAACCGTCTTTGATCTATCGAGTAGTCCCATGTGTCCATTATAAACATCTAATAGAGCGTGCAAAATGAGAATAAGCGCAACTACATGATTAGCCTCTTTGATGTATAAACATCGCAGCATTTTAAAAATTCCTTAAAAACCGTTAAGATTTCATAACCCAGTGATAAATTGTCTTTTTACGAGCGCCAATGTCAGTAGTGTAGGATAATCGCCTGGATCAATTCTGCATTTAGAATGTTCAACATGACTTTGCTACAAAATAGCCCCCCTAGGCTCCTTCCTAACTTATGTCTCAATACCAGGCAAATATCGCCAGGAAATACACGCTGGTGTACTTAGAACTCGCCAATATAGGATTATAAATCCACTGAGATTGGATAATAGCTACACAGTGAGCTGTTACAGGCTTTCAATTCATATTAGATGGTTTCAAGGCCAAGCCTGTACAAGGCTATCAGCCCCCTCTGAGTGCACCACGACCAGGCCTGTTCCAGGCTATCAATTCATTTTGAATGGCTACAAGACCATGGCCAAACCTGTACAAGGCTGTTATGGTTGGTAGTATGACGCAATCACGCAACCACATGTGTTAGTGACTCGTTCCCAGGTTTCGACATCAGGGGCTAAAATAGTGATTCACCGAATCCCGGTATAGTGGAATATTTCGCTAACAATCACCCTTTGCACACCCCTCTTCTTGCTCGTAAGTTTATATCGTTCCAAGATCTTATAATTGTAAATTTAATTTTCTTTTGGACAATATACGAGATCTTGATCGTCCTACGACAGAAATACGAAGAAGTGCAGTACGCAATCATCCCCTATGTGAGACTCCTTTGAAACTCCTTTGTTTTTATGCATGTAACATGTAAACAAACATGGCGGCTCAGTTGTAATTAATGTGTAGTACGGCAGAATATCGGTCGTGTTCTGGAGTATTTAGCGGGATTTGAAGTCCACCAACCTTCCGTGCACCGAGTTAAGAGAGCAGACAAGCATAAGGGACAACCATAAACCGGGTATATAATCGCGCAGACGACGGGAATATAAATGTTTTGGTTCGGTCAACAAAATCTTAGATTGTGAATGCAGTAAACTGAAAGAAACGAATGAATGATTGAACGAACGAAAAAGTGAAACGTTCAATCAAGAGTCCTGCACACGACTCGCCCACAGTAGACTGTTGTTGCACTTCACGAATCGCCAGAGGTCGCTGCTACACGGTCCATATGCCGGATAGTGTCAATACGTTTCACCGACGTCAGGGCCCTTCGCAGTCAAGAGAGCGCCTATTTCCAACTCTAACCCTAATCATAACTTTAATTCTAACCATAGCGATAACCAAAACAACGGCTAAAAACATGGGACGGTGAAACATAGCAGGAAATGTTACTGTGAGTGTCTTAATTTAGTATTTTGTACAAAGGTTCATCACAAAGGCCAGTGTGTAACGGCATTATAGTACTACAGTACGTCATAGTTACGTCAGCCACAGGTAAATGTGACCCTGCAATTTGGAGACAAATCGCCAGAGGCCACTGCTACACTGTCCATCGGCCAGGTTTCGTCCTGACGTTTCGCCGATGTCAGGACGTTTTGCACTCAAGCGAACGACTATTTCATACTCTAACACTAATTAATTCTAACAATAGTGATAATCATAACAACAAAATTTCAGCTAAAAACATGGGACGGCGAACCATAACAGGAAACCGCAATTTCGGCGGCAATTTCTTGTACAGGCTTGGCCATGGTCTTGTAGCCATTCAAAATGAATTGATAGCCTGGAACAGGCCTGGCCGTGGGGCACTCAAAGGGGGTTGATAGCCTTGTACAGGCTTGGCCGTGAGACCATCTAATATGAATTGAAAGCCTGCAACAGCTGACTGTGTAGCTATTATCCAATCTCAGTGGATTTATAATCCTATATTGACGAGTTCTAAATAAGTAACTATTTGGTGTCGCAAATAGATGAATAATTACCAAAATACTGATCTACGCACTCTCATAGTATTATCTTGTTTAATATGTCAGGTTGTAAGATATTCCATTGAGGTGATAAAAACGTATCGTTGAAAGACTCCTATATATATTATTCATATAAATATTATTCATAACCATATTTACCAAAATAAGAAGGTGATACCTTGCATTTACAAAATATTACCTGGTATGGCCCATTGTGCTATCCACCGTTTTGTTTTGTTATCATATTAAGGAGCATGTTTGTAATGGATATACATATATGTATTGAGAAATCCTTAGATGAGTGGTTTACTGCTTATTATCGTGTAGCCAGAAGACGTCGACCAATCAAAATGCTCCATTTCCCATTGGTTATCAGGCCGTAACCTCAAAATAACCGACCAGTTTTTGGTCGCCGATACCCGCCTCATTTATTCGATGGTTATCGCACCAGACCAGGGATCATGTAACCATATACACCTCAAGGCGGTGCATTGACCCTTAATTGTTTTTTTTACATATTCCAACATGTAATCACCAGACGTGGTGACGGCACACGTACACTTAAGTTTTTTTCAACTTATATCAATGCCGCCACCAACACAGGGGACAATACAATACTCATTTTCACCTGAGCGAAGAGAGGAAAGTCGTGTAAAGTGCCTTTCCCAAGGGCACAAGATCGGTGGCATGACAGGACTCGAACCCGGGACCTCTTGGTTCCGAGTCGAGCACTCTACACCACACGACCTCACATTGACGCTTTATTCAAAACATTTATCTGTCACTAGTCTCAGAACGCCTTTCTTGTACAGCTCCAGGAGCTTGGCGAACTCTCGCGGCATCTTGTGTCCTCGCGTGGTTAGCCCTCTCCCATAATGCCTGTCGTCAGTGTAGTGGTAGCCAATCGGGTTGCCTCTCCGGTCCTCCAAGTACGGCCAGAAGCCGTACACGTGGACTTCGTCACAAACTTCTAGCGCAAAGCTTACGAAGGTGAAACCTACGGCAAGAGATATAAACAATAGATAGGCCATATTCGTGCTAAAATTTCACAATTTTCACATGTAGCTTCTTCAAGTAATCTACACATGTAGTAATCGAAATTCATGACTCCAGCATGTCCATATCGTGAGATATCAAAACCTTAAGTTCTGCTGCAGTACCAAGGCAAATCTAATCATTTCTAGGTCTTATCAAGACCTACCCACCTACCAACTTTCATGACAATCCATTTAAAGCTTCTTGAGTATTCGTGCCAAACCACACACCCACCCACACACAGAGAGAGAGATAGAGAGAGAGAGAGAGAGAGAGAGTATGAAAGTGTACGTACTTACCAGAGGTCATGATTTTTTCTTTGACGCCATTTGTCTCCCAGAATCGGTGGCTGCGAATGACGTACCTCGGATTGCTAAACACGGCCGTGACGGGGGACTCTATTCTCTTCAATATATCCGGAAATGAAAGTATGTTTTTCACGTCGCGGAGGATGGAAAAGGGGAAAAGCCAAATATAGGATAAAGTCGGAAACTGTCCGTCCAAGATTCCTTTGAAAAGTTTTCTGTCTTTTGATGAGTCTAGATTGGACAATCTGGAAACAAAAGAATGAAGAAAGTTTATTGCACATTCACATCAAAGTAGGATATAAATATTGCATGACAATTGATAAACTGACACTGATGTTTATGATTTTATATACAGCAGTACTTTAAATGACATTTTGTTAAACCTATGACTGTTGGTTTTAACTGAAACTGATGTTTATGATTTTAAATACAACATTTTACTGACCTCTTGTTAAACCTATGACGGTTACATGTTACAAGGTCTGTTCTTTTCCCGACATCCCCTGTGTACTCTTCCACTAGTGGCGGAATGTTGAACCTGAAATGAAAATAGGAATTTTGAACAGCATATTTACTATGCAACGATTAGTACTATGACAGTTTGAACTAGAAATCCTACTGATATAGTATGAACTAGAGAGGTAACATTTGCAAAGCAAAAACATGCATAACGTCAAACACATTCATATATATGGTGACAGGAGTCTAAATCCCTCCTGCTATAAACTTGCAACATGATGTAACCCAACACTAGTTACCATGGTGACAGACGTCTGGTTCAGATCATTGACCTTACTGGTTTGGAGAAGAAGAGGAACCAGAGCAAAAACAATGTCTTTTTCTTCGGTAAACATAACAAGAAATCCTTCTGATATAGTATGAACAAGTACATGTACATCTACTTACCGAAATATAAACTCGGTGGAGTCAATTTGAGGTCCACACCCACTCCTGGATAAGATTCCACTGCTTCCAACTATACTGCAATTCTTGAAGCGTTTGGTCTGAAAATCTGGTGGTTCCTGAAATTTAATTACATAACAACAATTTCATACTTGTTTAGATTGCGTATTGCATTGTACTAGTATATCATCGTACCATATGCATATACATTCCATGATATATTAGGCTTATGTGAAAACTAACCGACTTGATTTTAGACTTAGACGTTTTGAAGAAGGAATTATAATAGTTGTAATAAATGTGGGTAACTGTTGTCCTGACCTGAGGTAGGCTGTTGTACAGGTCTTCTGTGATTTCGTATCTGCGCCTGTCTGACGTGAAAGGCACCTCCGAGTGTAGAGCTGTGTTGTTACGCGTCATGGTGAAGTCATCCCGGGTGTGGATAGCAGCTAACTTCGTCCTATAATATAAAACACAAATTCGGAATGTCATTCAAACAGATATCATAGAAAAATTAATATTGTATCAATATTACTGATCGGACCATTTGTACGATTAGTTTTTATTCATTTATTCTGATTTCTATTAACAGGGTGAACACACTCAGTGCTAATCGTATTGCTTTTCATGCGTGCCCTGTACATAAAGATAATAAACAAATTTTGATATTAAGGCATGAAGTACGAAGTAACTAAGAACGAGATATGAAAGCATAAAGGGATGGGCTAGCTAGTGAATGCCTTTTGTTCATTATTAAGATAAATGCAAGGTAAATTATAGATTTCATCATACATTAAATTCAGTAAACAAATAACTACAAATGCTAATATATCAGAGTTACAAACAAGATAGATCCTACACTCTACCTTAACTCAATCAGTTCTGCATGGTTGAAGGTCCAATCACGCTCGATTGAGGAAAGAATTTTCCCCATTTCCGTTTCCGTTCCATTGGTGGTGTAATTCCTGTTCCCAGCATGCACCTCTTCAAACTGTGGTTCTAACTGCATCCGGGTCATTCTGTCCAGCATGTTCTGTCTCAGTGTGTTTCTGAACATGGATTTCAAACATCAAGTCAGTTCATTGTCTATTGCAAGTACTATAAGTATTGTATGTATTAACGATTAACTTAACTGTTTAAGTAACTGAAGTACAAAAAACATGGATTTCAAACATCAAGTCATTTCATTGTCTATTGCAAGTACTATAAGTGTTGTATGTATTAACGATTAACGTGACTGTTTAAGTAACTGTTCAAAGTACAAAAAACATGGATTTCAAACATCAAGTCATTTCAAGGCTTGTATAAGTACTATAAGTATTTTAAGTATAAACGATTAACGTAAATGTTTAAAGCAATTTTCTGGCAATATATTATACTTTTCCATTCAAAGATGTGTTCTACTTTCTAAGAATACAATACAGATAACTATCAATCTTCTCTTAAAGTGGGCCAATTATACAATAGGTTATAGACATATTTTTCAACACGGATGATTGATTTTCTATATGTATTGTCATTCTTGTAATGACGCATAGTAGTTTATTATCGATAAATCGAAGGCTTTGGCTTTTCATGTGGAAATTCTTTTGGCATTAGTGTGGTGGAATTAGAAGGTTCACCAAAGAATGCCACAAAACTAGACTATATATAAAGTCTGTTTTCAAAATATAGATACGTATAGATACGTATACATCGATGGCTGCCATGTACATGATATCAACTTGGAGCCTTGGTCAGTCACAAGAAACGAGAAGCCATTTTCAAATTTGCTACGATACACGAATGACCTTGCGAAAGAACAACAGCACAAGGGCACATCGTACATTATGTAACTATGTCTGTTTACCTAGTATTCATGCGGATATAAATGAATGAGTGAATAAAGACCTTTTGTACACATATACCCACGATGTTAGTACAAATCACAACAGAATAGGATACAGATAACGTTATATATACATTGTCAAGTTGCTACAACTAAGTGAATTCGGCTTCTTCTCCCTTCTTAGTAATGGTGAACATGTAAGAATAGATAAGTTTCATAATCGAAGGTTATGTGTATGTTGTATACATATCTTAAGAATCTGTGGCCTTACCTTAATCTTAGTAACATCATGACAGTGGTGGATCCCACGAAGCAGGACAGGACGAGGTACATTTTGACGAGAGGCCTCATTGTAGTCGTGTGTTGGTCACAGTCCGCCCTGTCAATATGATTCAGTGTTGTCAGAACATAACTATCCTCGGGCGCAGTGAAATTACACGGTCAACGCCCTTTGCCTTGACTTGTCTTCACTCTGAAGTTTCCGAACATAAAAGGCGAAGACGTATGAAGTGAGAATTTTTTTATCCAAGATTGGAGCGTAAGACGTACCTGTAGTCTTTTCAGAACACTTCAGGGCCTGTTTAAAGGTTGATGACGTGTAGTAAGACACAGGAACAATGTGTGAATCCAAACAAAGGTCGCCTGTTGACAACGTGTCGGCAACGTGGCAAGGCGTTACGGGGTCACGATGTCACTCTGAATGCTTTCATTCTGACAAAACCTAAATCTACCTTTACACCTGGATCTTACGTTGGTCTGTGTACAAGTACGGTGGTGAAAACAATCGCCCACAGTGGTGCCATCTTTATATATAATAGTGTCGTCAAGGTGAAAACCTGGAAAACCGGTCCGAACCGCTGGGCGTTTTAATAAGAGTAAGGCCACGGCAACAATTGAAGTACTGCTAGTATGACGTTCTACGATTATGGTGTCGTATACGTGTAGGATTTTCAAAGTATCTGTCTTTTCAGTATTTTCGGTAACAAGACAGCTGAAATGGCCTAAGTTTTCTACCGTACAATGACTGGGCCTTTATTGTATATCAACACAGGTAGAAGATCGTTATATCATGCTGACTGTTCTGTATCTAATACCGTATACGCATACCAATCGCATAAAAACGTTTGGCTTTTCTCAGATCTTTTTCATGTGTACATGTAAATCATTATAGATGTAATGGATCCATCTACACAGATTGAAATGCAAGTCAGAATGAATCCTGATGTAAATTTCTATGTTGTGTCTGCTGATGATTTTTTGGCTCATTAATTTCTTTTTATGTCACAAAATACGAGTATATCAAATCCTTTCGCTGTACGTTTCGAAGAATGTTATATAGACTATATATAACTCTGTCAGTGTTTTGATACAACTGTGGTAAACCACCGGAATCACCATTATTTACCCATTGAATAGGAGCATGGCAAGTAGGAATAAATAATGCATGTTTGTAATACCCCAAATGTCCTTTTACCCTTTATTGGTAACATTATTATCCGACCCAAATCTACAATTGTTTCTTAAACCCTTTTGTTCAAAATATCAATCCACAGACGACTTATTACAACACATTTATGTAGCTATGTAGATTGAGACCTCGGCCTACCGTATTCAATTTCTATTAAACTGCTATGTGGCGAGGGATTTTCTAGCTACAGCTGCTCAATCTCCAAGCAGATCTTTTTATTGGTGGCTACAAGACAGTATCAAAGTATCGTTGGCAGGGCGGTATCCAATACACCACTGTAGGCTGACGAAAAACAGACGACGACACAAAGAAAGAAAGGCTGATAATACCTAAAAGACGTCAAAATGTGCCTGAACCTCTGCTAAGAGAGTAGCTACATACAATTATGTGTTAATGGCGTGGTTCCAGTCATCGTCTATGTGGTTAAACCTTTTGTGAACGAAATTTTGTAAATAGGTCAAACGTTGATACCAAAACAGTTACGTATACAATGATACGAGCTTTATGACAGTATATATATTACTGTATCCCAAGATCGTCCAAAAACACTGAAATTACTTCTTTAAAAGCAATAGTATGTTAACCAATTTGCACAAGAAACCACTTAGCTGATAGCTTGCGTGACATCAAGGCTTCCATACTCGCTCTCTCAAAATATTTTGAGCCAGACCACATTTAATATTGACGAAAAAAAGTGTATCTAGTACATGTAGTAATGGTCAATGAATATAACACTTTGGTAGCATACCGTAACACTAGAACATATACCCTAACATACCAACCTTGTGCTGATGTACCGTACTGTACAGCAGGAATACCCCATGGAAAATTGGTGGCACTACGACAAGGCAAGGAACACTTAAGTCTTTCATCAATTATGCAGAAGGATTTTCAAGGTCGAATTGGAAATTCGAAGGAAAATCAGAATTAACCCTGGTTTGGAGGATACTGCTCATTTGACATCATTCTATATCCCTCGTCTATAACCGTACACTTTTAATCCACAGCCAATGGAAAATGTATATCCCTGTATCTCTCTGTATACATGGTATATGTAACGTTACATAGTGTTCGGGGGACGGTTTTTTTTGCGGTAGCTTTAACAACAAAATATCCTTAAGCGTATAATACATAGCTTTATTTTTTTTCTCGTACGTTCATACCGAAGTGATGATAATAACTGTTATTTTGAATGTCATTGTTTGTTCACTATCTCTGTTACCATGGTAGTAAGGATGATGAATACATGTGATCGAAGTACGAGGTGGAGTTTTCAAAGCTGCCGCAAGATGTCGCTCGTGCACTGTACAGTAGTGTTCCCAATTTCTGTGCGGCTACAAATGCACCCATGTAAATGTTGTAATGACTCCGGCAGTGATTTTCTTCATTAGATAGACAGTGACAAAAGGATATAAACTAGAACTACCTCTGACGATGTTCCCTCTAGAATGTAACAGTTTATACAGGCGGAATAAAATAGATTGTACACAATGTAGTTTGCTTCTTTGTTGGTAAAAACATGCCCCAAGGTTAATTGCAAGCACAGGATCAGTAAAGCAGAAGTAAAGCAAAGTAACAGAGAACATTCACACATACTAAAGTACAGTTTTGTTCCGTAGGGGCAACAAACACCTACTGTCGCAAAGGTGGAGTTTTCCAGTAGCCATGGATGCCAGGTAAGTCTGGGATTGGTTGCCTAAAGTAACCAATCAAATCATTGTCTTGATAGTCCGGAATTAGTTGTCCAAAGCAACCATTGATACCAGGTTCTCCTGGTATTGGTTGCCCAAAGCAACCGTTAATACTATAGAGGTTTGAATTACCCAAAGCAACCACTTTTACCTAGTATATATCACTATTGGTAAATCCCACTTTTCGTGCAATGAAAGCTTTCTCTCACCAAATTCTTCGTATGCTTTTATACGCTCATAAATCGCTAACATTTTGTTCAGAAAGTAGTTCATTTGGGTGGAAATATACATGTACGAAGATGGGGGAATTTGTCGGGTAAACAACTTAACGTGGCCAAATTATCAATTATATACAGTCAATGCGTTTGTTATGTTTACTCGGGTAGAACGACATAAAGGTGCCCGTGCGTTACGGTAGTATACGTGGTTTTTGGTGCCCTGGGGCATAACTTAAAGGTCACTCACAGGAACAATAGGAGACTTTGGAAGGAATGTACCATGTTGTGTAAGATTTGGGAAAGTTCAATGAGACGGTTGTTCATTTAAACACTTTGTATGTGCACTAAAATAACATCACATTGTGTTTTCTAAATGCATGTACACTGTTTATTACATGTACACGAAAATAGCACCATTGAAGACCACATGGCGTTGTCATTTCTGCTGACCTCACATGTGACCTCCCATGTCACATCTCAATGATATGTGATTGTCTGTAATTCTCTTCTTTCTACCAGAGAAACAGGTCGTAAGCATTGTATACCCTACTGAAACATAACGTAGATATACATGTACCACGAAGGCTGAGCTCTTTGAAGACTCTAAAGATACTCAGTATAATCCAACTTGAGCAAGCTGGCTTCGGTAAGACACCAACAATACCTGAACGCGAGGAAGTAGGCTTTAGTAAGCAACCAACAAAATCTGCATAATTGGGGAAGTAAGCTTCAGTAAAACAGGTGCTATATAGAGGCTCATTTCTGTGTTAGAGTCCAACATATTGCTTTATCGATTTTCCCAATTTTTCCCGCGTGTATTTTACAAAGGACATGTCAGCCTAGCTCGGCGCGGTTCGATACGCTCATTCTGGCTGCCGGCACACCCATGGACGGGTGGGCACGCGACGGGGTTCCCGATGGGGCCGCCACCGCACGGAAGCGGGGAGCTGGGCGGGACGGTGTGCAACCTCTGCCGCCGAGTAACGGCCCTCGCTACGGTAGCACGGCGGCTAACGGGCAGTCGACTTGGAACCGTGGGGACGACTATGGAGGTATCAGGGGACGGGTGTCTGCTCTACCAGGTAAGTTAGTATGCGTAAACACAGCATTGGTAATGTATGACAGGCATTTAATAGCATATGGCTTTGGTACATATAATATCAGACATGCTAGCCTATTTCTTTTAGTGGTTCCAAAAATGAAGAGAAATTTGAGGTTGAAACTGCAATATTAACATTTATTGCAATCTTACTTGGAGGTCAAATAAAGGTTGACCCATATCCTTATATTTAAGCATAATTCATCTCATTGACTTGAGATTATTATCTTAATTCATAAGCTGCAGTTATATTTCGACATCCATGTATATAATTATATGAAAGTGTTTTAGTCCAAAATCTAGGCTATGATATGAAAATACATAAATGGAATAATATATACGCTTTGGCCTGGGATGGGCCAAGTATATGTCTATTTTCGGAATATCTATCCAGCATCTACTTGGAATTATGTAATATTTCTGAATCAATGTGAAGGGGTAACTCAATATAACCTCACCATACAACAATGGTATGAATTGAATCTTCCTAGTACCAATACTTAGTACAAAGCAAATAATTGAAAGGGGCCCAAAATTGCGTGAGAAATTAGATATACCAGAAATGAATAATTTAGTGCGTAGATTAGCCCATAGTCGCACTGGGACATGTACATGCTATTACCAGTTGTAAACAATACATCCCTTTTCAGCACTAATGAATCCAACATACATTAAGGCAATCTACATATCTTGACATATCTAATTGTTTTGCTTTCTATGTTCAAACTGTGAGGTGGCTAGGGATGGAATAGAAGTAGCATGGTGGAATGTCATGATTGTGTGAATATTGGTAGACGCCATGTTGGTAGCCTCCGTAGCAGGCTTATAGAACTGGGGATTTGGTGATCTTCGGCTGTTTTCTGATTAGCCCTGAGTTCTAAAAAACGGGGGTAATTCAACCAGGCCGGCTATGTTGCCTATATGCAATCAGAAAATAGCACATAAAAGCTCCCAAAGACCCTGAAGACCCCCCAAAACGCCCAGTTTTTGGCATGCTTTGGAGGCTAATGTTGGGACGGTTGTGCAGTGAGGGATGGTACTGTCGATACCGCCGCCGGTAGGGACTGTACATGTGTGACGTACGGGGTTAAGTGAGATGGATGGGGATAAGGGACAGACCGTTACTGGTCAGGGGAGGGGTGGGGCTAGCCTCTGAGTGGCATCAGTTACGAATTATGACGATAACACATAATTCAACCCACCAATCCCACCCTAGCTCGTAGCTCTTTTTGAGAGCATGCATACTAAAACTGGATACGGTATTGTCAGAATAAAAAAAGATCAATTCTAACAATCAAACAGCTTTCAGGCCTTTTGTCAGGTTCACACGCAATGTTAATATTTCATTCGAATAAAAATTTCTTTGTACATGTATATGTGACCGTGTGTGTGTGTGGGGGGGGGCACAAGCACATATGACTGCTCAGTGAATTAAGGATCACAAAATTTTGCTGCAAAAAAAAAATATAGAATATATTTTGTAACTAATGATGAATCATCGTACTCTTTGAAGAATCCTCCTTCCATTTTGACTTCTATCCTACTAACTGCTCCCCGTACGGTAGCTGAAATGAACCACCCCCGAGTGAGTTTTGCCCCACGGTCTGTCGCCTCCTGTAGTGCCATATTGCGATATATCGAGCGTCTGAGAACCCGGATGTAGAACGGCTCACCACGTATCGGCTTGTCGGGAATTCATAGCTGTTCTATATATAGAAATATAGCATATTTATATTGTTTATGTTGTTAGGATTGATACTTTCAAAACATGACCCAAATTTAGCGGAGTTATCAATAATAATATTTCTTACAAAAACTGCATTCATTGCATTGATATGAATACCAGGTGCAACCAAGTGTGTCTCAATATATAATCATGTGTAAATCTAGTAAACCTTTGCCATAGACAGTTTTAATCTGTCATGCCCCGACTATATATCCAAGTACTTAGGCCAGTATATATATGTACAGCTTTACAAAAGAGAGAATGTATAGTGACGAATAGAAAAATAAAACGTATATCATACCAATACACCATTTACGTCCATATTCCTGTAGTCACAGTTTCTTTAGTATTATTGTATTGATTGCTATGTCATTGTTGTCATATATTGTACCTGTACAAGTTACAACTGTCGAGCAGTCATTCATTCATTCGTTCGTTCATTCATTCATTCATTCATTCATTCATTCATTCATTCATTCATTCATTCATTCATTCATTCATTCATTCATTCACTCACAAACTCCGTCCGTCCGTCCGTCCATCCTTCCATCCATCCTTCCTTCCATCGATCGATCGATCCATCCATCCACCCATCTATCCATCCATCCATCCATCCATCCATCCACTCACTCACTCACTCACTCACTCACTCACTCACTCACTCACTCACTCACTCACTCATTCATTCATTAATTCATTCAAAGGTGAAAGCTTAATATTGTCTCCTCACAGTACGAGGTGGCCTGCTGACTGCCGATGACCTGAGTCCCACCTTACGGGATGAGGTTCAGAGGGCCTATATCTACTACGGGTACAGGGTAAACCTCACGACATGGGAATGTATTAAAGGGTACGTCTGGACAAGCAGTCGTTTCTGTAGTTACTTTTTTATGGACAAGGAAAACTTCTGTGCTATGGAAGCGTTCAATATAGAGATATTGTGCCAGATAACATTGTTGTGATGTCACCATTGTTAAAGTTCTGTCGAACATGGTCTGCTATCAAATTAGTGCAAACCTAACATATTATAACAGCATTATGGTACTACACTACGTAATACTATAGAAGCACATGCAACAACAGCAATACAGATATATCGCATGTTTCCAATCTTCTACAACCAAGTCATGAGCCTTGTATACACTTTTAAGTTTGAGGAAAATAATTATAGATATTGACAGATTGATCGATACAGTTGGGTGGATAGAGTGATAGATAGATAGGTAATCCCGGGTGATAGTCGCCAGGCAGGACAATGACCCCACCCCACGTCTCCCCAGCATAGAACACCAGTCAATAACAATCCAACTGTTTACATGTAGTCACCCTTCTCGTGATGCCCCCCTCCCCCTTCAAGTGTGTGATAATGAAGCCCAAATCTTACTCCTCAGCTTGTTTGTCCTGTCCAACGAAACTGTAAACATATGGAGTCATCTCATTCCAACCGTCTACTTCGTCGTTCTCTTGGCAAAAGAAGGAAGCCAAGAGGAAGGATACGCCCGCAACGTCCGACTAGCACAGGAGATATGTGCTATAGTAAGTAGGACCGCTAGAGGGCGTACTTGCATGGATGACGGCACCTGCTAACACCTGTTAGTTCCACTCCAAAACAAATCGCCTTCCGCCTGTTATAAATGTTAAATCCCTGTAGAACAATTTATCTATAATTGCAATGAACTAGTTATGAAGGATTTTACTGTAGATTATCGCGATATTTCATCTTTGTTTTCCTTGGTTTTAGATCGGTTTGTTTGGCTCCACGCTGTGCCATCTGATGTGGGGTCACAAGTGTGACAAAGTTCGCCGTGGTTTCCTAGCGACCGACGTCGTCACGTTTTGTGTTGCCGTGATGGGGTCATACATAGTGTTCCTCCACTATGGCTTCTACTGCTTTCCGGTAAGTGTGACGTCATTTCCGGTTCCTATGATATGATACAGTAGACACCAACTATTTGAATCACTGACATAAACTTGGGATTTACATAAAATTCTGAAAAACCAAACCATTTGCCATTCACTCCATCATAAATTGCATGGCATAATTGCATGAGCCACATGTATTATGGCTTAAACTTGACATTAGGGTAAAATATTTCGAAATCAATCGCATACTGCAGCTGACCCAGAAATACATGTACGTGAAAGAAATACATTTAGTTGTTACTGTTCAATTGTTGAGCGTTGGCGAATCCGCATAGAGTCCACTGTTATTCATTCATTATTACCCCTGCACCCTCCATGCACTAGTATTCGCCTGTAGTATCACAACAAAACTATACACCAGGTATCTGTTTTCGTCATTTAACAGGTGTGATTCACACATTCTTATCATAACACTTGCAGGGTTGGAGGAACTTCTACCTGTCGATATTTGCAGTCTTTCTGTCGGCAAACGTCATTTCTATCTACCGATGTGCGTTTGAACCCGAGAGTGACAAGAAGAGGGAAGAAAGGCTTGTACAGGTAATAATCACCAACATTTGTCAAACCCTTGGATTTGTTTTTCTTGGCATCTTGCACTTTAAAATAAAAAAAAGTTTACAGGAATAAAAAAATGTGCGGTAAGTTTGAACCCGAGAGTGACAACAAGTGGGAAAAAACACTTGTACTGGTAATAGAAATCAACATTTCCAAAACTTTGGATTTGCTTTTTGTGTACTTTCAAAAATGATTACAGGGACAGAAAATGTGCAGTAACCCTGTTTTTCCGCCAGGCGGCTTGCGTGGGGTCCTTCCCCTTCATTTCCATCTTCCACCTGTTCCTGGTTCTGTGCCCGGATTGGTACACGCTCCACATGACCGTAAGTTACGTCCAATAGGATTTGTAAGATTTACTTTGTGCTTTATATGTTGATTGGTAGTTGACTACACGAAAGCATGCGTCGAACATAAACTTACAATTGTAAGCATTCAGGGCAGATAATTGGATGTTGGTATTGGCATATGGATCGATAGTGTGGGATAGATCAGTTATATATCTGCTTATGCCCCCTCCCCCCATACTGTACTTTTTGTTGCATCAATAAAGATTGACTGTAATTCTAAAGCCTCCAAGCTATCAGCACAGATTCCTGTCTGAATGATGAATATACATTTGATACATAGAAAGAAGCTAAATGCTACTGCAACAAATGTATAGCTTTCTATATATAATAATGTATGTATTATGTATTTCCAGACCCTGCTCAGGATCTTGGTGCATGCCTACCTTGCCGGTGTAGTCGCCATGGCGTTTTATGGCCTTCATATACCTGAAAGGTTCTTCCCAGGTGGGATACTTATTTTGGAAATTTTGATGAAGGTTAGACATTCAGGCAATGAGATACACAAGAAAACATCTATCTCTACTCAAGTAAGAGATAGATTTGGGCAGGTTTTGAAAAGTGTCAGACGCTTCAAGAGATTTTGAGAACTGTCGGAAGTTTCAAGAGGTCTTGAAAAGTGTATGACGTTTCAAGTAGCTGTTATCCACTTCATCTGTGCCACGTTTTCCTTTTAGCAGTTTGCAATATAATTAACAAAAACATGTCAATGTATCAGAATAGGCAGTCTAATGTACATGTATGGTAGCCAATGGGGATATGTAAGACATGTAGAGTTATGAAATATATTATAAAGATTACTTCCAAACTTACCTCATCTCTTTCTGTCCCAGGAAAACTGTGGTTCGCAGGATACAGTCACCACTGGTGGCATCTTGTCGCCACCTTGTATCAGCTGGGCTGGTACTATGCATGCTGGGAGTTAGATGACGTCATCAAGAGGCAGCCGCCATGTTTAGAGTCTTGATCTCAGGGAATTTTAGCACGTTTAAAACCTGCTACAATTTTCATTACTACGTTAGGTGTAAGGTATAACGCACACATAGTTAAAAAAACATCATTCTCACAGGAAAGGTGCTGTTAAGGAGCCTAAATTATAAAGGAAAGACACTGAAGCAATACGAACACAAATAATATATTCAATCCACTTGCAAGTCTACCATGCCCACTTACATGGGACTTGATGCACTTTTTTCCCACCGCACGAAGAAACGTACTTTACAGAACCCGCTATAGGGATAAAACAGTAGGCAAATATTATCTGAGACACAGGTTTACAGCTTTACCTTGCTGGGAGAATACCTCAATATCATAGTACTATATAACATATCTAACTGGTACTTATACCTTACTAAACAGGTCTGACGAATTGGTTCTACAGGACCAGAAAACAGTACTGATAGTAAATCATTCCTACATACACGCAAATATGATATAATATATGGTTTAGACATTAGAAAATCTTGACCCTGCAATACGAACGATGTTAAATCACTTACAATACGTATACAATTACGACATGATAAACAACAATATATACAGAATACAGTATTCCAAACAATAGTATACTAAACAAATGCATTTCTCTTAAAAGCAATAAAAGTGCAATACGAAGAAGAATTTGTTTCATATGGCTAAACGTACAATATTGTCTCTCTCTATACCTTTACAGGCCGACCGTAGATATGTAGAAACGATTGCTTAAGTAACGGTGATACCAGTACATCAGATAGATACAATATCATACAAATAAACTTCACATTGATATACTTCACATAATATATTACCAAATATTACCATATATCATGTCCTTGATATTACTCAAATCATGTGTTTTCTTTGTACAATATTAAATGATTCATTACTGTACATTACTGGTAGGGTACTGACTTATTCCGATAGATAAGTTTGATTGTCCTTCCTATAGTCACTCTGTGGCTAATAACAACATCCATACGGTTGGTACAGCAACGGTTATACAAATCGTTATCAAAGGCCGAGCTGATTTTTTTAAAACTTGAACTGACCTACTCTACGATCTTCGTCTTTCTGTTGAGACTTTGGAAAATTCTTTTCCCTAGGTTCTAATCTTCTTGCTCTAGAAGATTGAAGCACTTGACTTCGTTTTACTCTCCCACAACAACGGGAGCATTTATTTATAACTTCCCATTTATGCAAATCACTCACGAACATGATATAATTTGCATAAATGGGAAGTTAACATGCTCCCGGCCAGACAGGGTCTCTCACTGCTGTATCCGGGGCTCGTGGTCTCGCGCAGCTGTTGTGTAGGTGGTTGACGGGGCGCTTCGCCGAGTGCAGCCATTGGTTGAGAGAACCGTCTTGTTGACCAATGGGGGCTTCTGGCGGTTCACCCGATCTCTGATGACCGACTTCACCTACAAATCATACGAAACTGGATTCAATGGCAATAATGCATCCATGAATTTAATTTTTCTTTGGTCTATTTTTTTTTGGCAAAATATTTAACTACATTGTTCGACAGACTGCCTTTCAGAATCTCGGTCTGAATTTGAATTCAACTTATTTCTCTATATCATCTTACTAGTTTATAATTTAATTGACAGTTTTGCATCTTCTGCAAAAATAGATCTGTGGTTAAAATGCAGACCTACCTCGTCGTTGGTGAAACAGTAGATAATGGACACGACCAGACCCTGAAAATGCATTAATTTTGTGAAAGTCAAACAATATTGTTCCATCAAAAAATGTAAAAGTATTTTCAGAACACAAATGATATAATTGTACATGCCTTGCACTCTATGGAATTGAAAGCTGGCATTCAAAGTGATAGTTTAGGAGTGAATTTGCAATTATAGTGTATGCTAATACCTGCGTTGACTGCAACAAGGCGTTGAAGATCTGGAAGATGTGCTGTCCAACACCGTCATCTTGCGGATCCACGAAGAACAGCAGGTTAGTCAGGCCCAGCAGTGGCAGCAGCACGAACATCGCTCGCAGAGCCTTCCTGTAATCATCATCATAACCAAAAATAAAGTTCAGAACATGAAAGTTCATCTGATTTGGTAGTTATCATAGTAAAAAGTTGAACACAAAGCTCCAACACTAGGTTTCACAGACTGAGATCAAATTTTCAACGACCACTGTCGCCTTCATCTGGCTTCTAGGTTAACCAATGGAAGGGCTGCTAGAAGCGTCATGTAGTCAGACTAGACATGGCTGACCTCATTCTCTCCAGTTCCCCAGGTTTCTTTGGTACTGCAGCGGCCGCCATGTTGGTGGTTCCGTCCTTTAGGTCCAGTTTGAAGCCCAGGGTCAGCTCGCACCACGGCTCGCTGGCGTGAGGGGTCTTCTGGTCATCCTTGATCTTCGTCACCAGGACAGCCAGGATGTGGAACAGGAAGTACAGGTTCACCTATGAGGGTGAAGACATATCAAGTCAAATCATAACAATTGAGACATGTATTGTACAGGTGCTTGTGGCAAATCTGCGTTCCTGGATACGCGAAGACCATAACTCTAACGTATTCAGGCATACATGTAGAACTAGGCACGGTTCTGCACACGATTTTTTTCATGCCAGCAGAGTGTCTTACCAGAAGGGCTGCGACGGTTGGTCCGGAGACGATCCAGACGTACGGCAGGCGGCCGTAGTGGTGCCAGCACGGCTCCGTGTCGTACAGACTCATCACGACAGTCCACACAGCGACAAATATCGCGGGAACACCTGGAACAACGGGTCCGTTACAATCACTGACAGCTACCGAAAAACAGATCGTGGATATTGTGTACACACTACAAATGTATTGTGATTGTCCATTACAGTATCAATTTTGCATGGCAAAAAGTATTTGACTAGAAAGGTATAATCCTTCACATGGTCCAGCCTAACAAACTACTTCTCTGTTTATTCTTTTTCAAACACATTCATATACATGCACTATATGGTGACCAGCCCCTCGAACTCGGTCCTACTAACCCAAACACCACGGGGTGTCTCCTACAGCACCAGTTACCATGGTGACAGACGTCTGGTCCGGGTCATTGACCTCATGTGTTTGGAGAAGATGAAAAAAGCGAAAACAATATGTTTCTTTCTGCGAAGGTAAACATAAATTTTTTATTGCTTCGGCAGTTTCTTACATCTTCGTATTTAGGATCTGGGAACAGTATAAAACACCCCTCACCCCAGCCGATGACGTAGAAGGCTGTGAGACTGGAGATGTGTCTCATGACGGCCACCACACAGCGCACGTACAGGAACAGCCCCTCTATCAGCATCCAGAAGATGTTCGTCAGGCCGAAGTACTGCAGCAGGACGACCAGGCCGCGGCACACTGCGGGCTAGAGGGAAACGGTTTTGGTGTTGAAGATATTTCCTTTGCTATTTTCTGGCTGTAGGGGCAGTGGTTAATCATTCATGCCTAGGGCACGATTGTTGAACTAATCCCTTCTTCCACTGCCTGGTACCCCCACAACCGTGGTCAGGGTCGTGTGGCGTAAATGGTAGCGTACGCGTGTTCGGCTCAGAACCAAGAGGTCCCGGGTTCGAATCCTTCCATGTCACCGATCCTGTGCCCTTGGGAAAGACACTTTACACGACTTTCCTTACTCCACTCAGCAGGTGGAGATGAGTACCTAGCTTGGAAGGTAGAGCCCATCCCTCTCCTCTACCGAAGTCAGGTACCCATTTTGCACTTGGGTGGAGTGAGGAAAGTCCTGTCATGTGCCTTTGCCAAGGGCCCAGTGTCTTTGAAGGGTGTTTGAAAATCCCTACATAACACTCTTAAACAATCGTAGTGACAGCATCAAATAGTTAATGATAAGCTCTGAGCTGTGGAGAACTCTTACAATGTTTGTCAAAAGCATTTTGAAGCGTGTATATTTTTATCTATATTAAATTTTGCTTGCATGATCTAGCACCGCGATATTTGTGTACCAGAGAACAGACGAACGAGTGTACGTACATGTGAGAACTCCATGAATTGCATTTTATATCTGATTTTCTCTCTGGAGTAGACGTGTGAGATATGACAGGAAACATGAAAGCAACTGACAAGACTTCAAAGCAACCCCTGTGGCTACCCTCCCATACTCAATTAGCGTGGGCGAGCTAAAGCAATACTAAACGACAATATGCCAAACACTACACAACTCGAAAACAGATGTTACAAGAACACGATACCTCGTTCATGTACTCATAACTGCCAGAGATGTCGAGGAATGGTTGCAGCAGAACGATGAGGATGATGGCTCTGAGAATGAGTGACAAGACAAGGTGCTTGTGTATTCTGATGCGGTCGCACTGTAATCGCCTGTAAAAACAAGCCATTAGTAGAAAACACGTTCATTTCATACTGATACGTACAATTGGCATTTTTTTTATATTCTCAATTTTGTTGAATGCCACGCATGCACTCAACGTCAGCACTACTATACTACGTGTACGATCACTTTATTTCGTTCATAAAGGTGCCGCTATTTTCGCCTCATCGCAAATTTCATCGGTAAACGAATTAATTATAAGAGACGGCAGAGGAACGCCAGAGGACGAATCGTGTAACATCACAAGGCGGTAACTCTTAGAAGACTGCGTACACTAAATGAATATCTGCATATCAGAGCCGAGAGTGTTATCAAATTTGGAGACGAAATGTCAAATGTGAAAGACTCGGCAACTCACCGAAAGTAGCAGAAGATGAAGAGAGTGGCGCAAAGAGTCAACAGTGACAGACTGGAACCAACCACATAGATGTCTCTCACTGCCAGTAGTATCGCTGCATCCTATGGAAAGATCAATGTATGAAAGCTACTGTAACAACTTTGAACTGAAGTTTTGGAAGCCGAGTCACGTAAACGGACGTACGGCTTCTGATTTAACACATGAGCCTTTTTGCTACGGCTGTTATCGAATGCTGAATTTCATACTAGAGTAGGATCTAGGCCGAATTGTCTGGCAGGATTCCTAGACGCACGTAGACAGGGACTTTATCTCATAGACTGCCGAGTCCAGGCGCCGCCACAGTATAAAGAACTGGCGTTTACGAAGATGGATAGAGAAAAATCGGTTGTCAAGTACGGCTGAATCTTATTGTTCAACATTTCTATCCATTTCCCGTGGTTTGTAGTTTGCATGTAATTAGCACATGTGCGTGGGATGGGCGCTTTCTGTTATTCTGTGAGATGTCATCTGGTGCTCTTGATCCTGATCAAAACGCCCACTCCCCGTTTCCAGCAATCCAAGTTTGCCTCGCTGTACTTACCGGTTTGATCCGGCACTAACCGGTTTGATCAGGTACGTACCGGTTTGATCCGGCTCTTACCGGTTTAATCGGGTATTTACTGGTTTGATCGGGTACTTACCAGTTTGATCAGGTACTTACCGGTTTGATCGGGTACTGGAGACAGGCTGTGTAGTTTGTCCAGTTGCCCATGTGCCATTCTCCGTCCTCGTCACATGTTCGATGGGCTAAAATTTCTGAGAGATAGTAGATCATAAGTTTCAAACAGCAGGTGTGCAGTATTCTAATGAATATGGTACCCAAAATGGTGCCAAAAATGGTGCCCCAACAGTGGTGGCAGCGGTGTACGTGACACATTATTCGTGCACATGTCGCCTTTCTTTACTTCTTTATCTTGCTTCAGTGTTATTTCTGTTTTGACTGATTTCTGTCGGGATCCGTGGCGTTTGATTTTGTTACTTCTGCAATAAAGAATGTCTTACTTGAGCTGTCGAAGCCCTTGTGATGCGGACACGGCAGGAAGATGGTGTGTCCGGCCGGGATGCTGGGCCAACAGTAGATACTGTCCCACGCACTCGCACAGCTCAGGTCTGGATAGAGGTGAAACATTTACTGTTACAGCTCAGATCTGGATATAAGTGAAAATGTAACTCTGTTACAGCTAAGATCTGGAAATATTTGAAAATGTAATCCTCTTACGGCTACGATCTGGACATATTCAAAAATTAAATTTGTTACAGCTAAGATCTAGACATGTGTAAAAAGTTACAGCTAAGGGAGATGTCTATGTAATACATTGAGGGATATGTGACACAGGCAAGGGAACACAAGGTGTTAATTAATATGATGCATAGTAAGAAACAAACACCGAAGCTCATGGATCATTTCAACCGCCTACTGATACCAAAAGCGATAGAGTGGTATGATAGATTGCCTTCATCTTCAAGACAAGATACCTTCACCTTCAAGATAATTACCTCATGCATCGCAATACGCTTCAATACAAGACAGCTTCATATTCAAGACAATCCGAAAATACCTTCACCTTCAAGACAAGATGGCTTCACATTCAAGAGCAGACAATCCGAAAATACCTCCATCTTCAAGACACCTTTAAGATAAATAACCCATGCATCACCGTACTCTTCAAGGCAAGACAGATTCACCTTCAAGACAAGACATCCCAAAATATCTCACCTTCAAGACAAGATACCTTCACTTTAAGACAAGACAATCCGAAAATACCTCCATCTTCAAGACAAGATACATTCACCTTTAAGATATATAACCCATGCATCGCCGAACGCTTTAAGACAAGACAGATTCACCTTTAAGACAAGACAATCCGAAAATGCCTCCATCTTCAATACAAGATACCTTCACCTTCAAGATAAATAACCCATGCATCGCAATACGCTTCAAGACAAGACAGCTTTACCTCCAAGACAAGATTATCTGAAATACTTTGACCTTCAAGTCCTGTCAATATATAATGTTGCAGGCTGTAAGTTGTGAGGGACCGTTTGTGAAAACTTTCTACGTAGGATGTTCCGCAAATTTAAAAGTACAGAAACTTTTAGGAATGCATCTTATTTGATATAATTACAGTGCTTATTTCATGTGTCGTATGCTAGTATCCAGAGAATCAACCATACAAGAACCTCCACCAGGCCTTCCTAGGGGATTGCGGATAGTAGAATTCAGTACAAATACGGTAGAATAATTGGCCAGGAGAGGCAGTCCACGGTAAGAATAATATTCCCCTTGTGTAGGCAAATAAAACCCTACGGTGTCCAAACAAACTCCCCTGGTGAATTATTCTTCCTTTTCGTCTACATTTTGCTAATTTTCATCCTGCGTTGTTAGTCTGTGGGAGACGGTCCATACGACGTCAAACGCGCAGCTGCGTCCAAGCGTAATGGCATAACTAGCCTTTCAGAAAAAATATCAGGAAAAACACATTCATACACAGTTAATTGGCCACAGCACCGTTCTTATAGCATACATATTTATTATGTATGCTCCTAACTATCCGGATGTGCAGCGTCAAATCAACATGTTCCTTTGAGTATAAGAGTGACTGGTGAGTTTTAATGAGCGCCTGCCTGTGGATAGAAATATGACGCATGGTATCACATCAAAGTCACTTCGTTGCTAATATGACTAGTTCTGAAGTGACGATGAGCTACCGAATCAAGCTGTGCTTTTAGTATAGCATAGTCAGGTGGTTTTTTAAATGAGAAAAATGATACCGCATGTCATATTTCTATCCACATCATGCGTTCGTTAAAAAAACACGATTGTCACTGTTATGCTGGAAGAACAGCTTGCCATGTTTTGATAAGATATTAAAACTTGTTACAGAAGCAACAACTGCGTATTCTCATGCTGAAAAAAAGTTACAAAGCGTATCGAAAGCTCACTTGGAGATTCACATATCAGTTGAAAACTCTTCTGAAGTTTGCAGTACAAACGTATTGGCGAACTGACAACTGTTCTGTTAGTGTAACAGTGTTGATGTTGTACCATGTGTCATATTTCTATCCACATCGATCCTTTATAGATACTCTATGCGTTCATTAGGAAAACTCCTGTCACTATCATAGACATTTAGAACTTCAGTTGATGTATGGATGTAGAAAATTCACAACAGTTTCTTCTGAAGTTTGCATTACAAACGTTTAACATTTTTTGGTCCCGCTCCAATGTACTTTAATGAGGAAGTGTTGAAAGATGCGGCATTGCCTTGTCACAGAGCTGGCGAATTCGGACAGATAACAATGTAAAATTCGATACCGCTGACTTAGCCACTGGAACCTTTGCAATCATGAATGGCAGAAAGGCATCTTAGATCTTACAAGGCATCGTTTGATACAGCGATATGAAAGAAACGCCGCCTCGCCATAGAATAGGCATACTTAGTACATGTAAGAGGAGTGAGATTTTGGATGTAGGATTGCAGTTCTATTGGTCGAAGGTAAAATTTCCTTCTAGTATTGCAAGCCCACACTACATAAACCAATATACCACACTGATAGCGTTCATTCACCCATATCATAAGGTCAATACTAACCCAATTGGCACTGCACC